ATCTCAAATCTTCTCAAACGTATCCAAGTGCTTGATATTTTAAAAAATACTGCTAAATTCGTACGTTTCACGAAACGAGACTTGTATAATACGATTCATAATGATATACACTTTAACGGAGTGGCACTACATTCGGCGACGACAAACTAGACCGTCGCGGCGCACATCAGCACCCCATCGCGGTTGACGAATATTGTTCCGAATTCTTCGCCGGAAGAGAAGTGCCGAGAACGCGACATCATAATATTTCATTTTCATACCGGCAGAGAAGTGTGTCGCGAAAAAAGAGATCATGGTGGCCGTCAACTAAATATTATTATTATTATTTTTATTATAATACTCGTGGATCTCTCTCCGGTCGTCACCGACCGACCGACCGTCTCTCCGACCGACCACCTCAGTCTTCGTCGTACCACGTCTCCGCTACTCTCGCCCTCGCCGGACCTCGTTCGAGCTCTCTCCGCAAACGAAAAGCGGCCGTAAACGGACAAGCCCTGTCCCCACTCTTCCCCAACCCCCTCCCAGTGCTTTTGACACGTCCGTTCTGCAGAGAACACGCCGTGGCGTTCGTTGTAAATCCGTTTCTGCGGAGTTCGTAATTTATTTTTAACGAGCTTTTTTTTTATACGTTTTTTCCCTCCTTTTCTTTTCTGTATATATATAAGCCCCCGGTTTGAGTCTCGAGTGTTTTTTCCCCATAATTCTCTCACCCTCTCTCTCTCCACACACACACACACACACACACACACACATATATATAGGTACCTATGTATTATAGATGTGGTAGGTATAGGTATCCGTATATACGTTTACAAAACGGCGTTGAGATCTCGGTTATATTGTATGAAAAAAAAAATTCTCAATTCATCAGCGTTCGTCAACGTGGTTAGTGCGTTACAGTAGCATTCTAGCGAATAATGAGTACCACACATCGATTATTATACCTATCGCATCGCGACTCACGATATTATAATATTCGAATTCGTAATACTATATACAGAGTGATTCACCGAGCACCATTTTTTCCTTAAGCAATACATCAAAGCACAATTTTCGGTATTTTTAAACGTACTATTAGACCATATGTGTTTTAAAATTCTAGAGAATTGTTATGCTATACGGCTTATGGAGCGTAGTGCGGTGTTACAATTTTCTGTTTTTCGTATGAGAAAAAACCACATTTTCTACTGCAGATTATTTCGTGGATAATTTTTTTAAAAATTGCATTCGATGAACGTAAGTCAAAATATAAACGTGTATTTTCTCAGTCGATTAAATGTTTATATTGAGCTGGATAAATTAGACTTAAAAATGGTTTTACAAAAATATGTAACATTTATTATAATTGGACCATTTTTATAAATTATAAATATTTAGGTATATTAACTAGGTACTAACATTTTTAAATCATCATAGCTCCCGTATTTCCCAAGCCTATGATCATGGGCCTATTATCCTTAGGTACACTAAGCGACTAAGCTGAATAACTGAAAACTATAATTGGTATGAATTTTGATTTTCAGGCTTCTACGTTTTCAGAAACTTTTTTCGCTAAATAATTTGTAGTAGAAAAGGGGGTTTCTTATTTGAAAGGCATACATTTGTATCTCCACAGGACACTTATCCTTAAGTAGTACAAAGTATATCAATAATTTGGAAATATGGTACCTATATAAGTATATTTTAAAATTCAAAAACCAGATTTCGAATGGCTGTATTATCGAAGAAAAATGTTGTGAGCATGCTTTGTAAATCACTCTGTATATAAAGACTTTGACGTGACGTAGATGTGCCTTCGAATATTATTGTAATTCGATTTCTAATTAAATTACCTACATAATTATATAAGTCGTGCTCGTTGCGTTGCCGAGTGTAGTTTGAATAAGTGGTTCGAGTGACCTAAAATTAGACACACCGATCTACGCTGCTTCTTATTATAAATATTACGAATTCGAACTACACTCGGACAACCACACATTTAAAATCAACCAGCACCCTCTAGAAAATGTGGACATTCTCAGCCCAGTGGTGTATGTGAAGGGTGAGACGATGGGTGGATCGCATACACCCTTATTGTATACTTTTTAGCGGTGTTGATTTCATGAATAATTTATTATCCTCGGGTGGCTTATTTAAAATTTTCTGATATCGGTGTTCCAAAAAGTAGTGATAAGGAAATCAGCAATCCATGATTTATGCAAACCATGAGAAAATCACTTAACTATAGTTTGGCTTAATTAAATGTGTATGCATAGAGTTAGGTATTAAATGGTTGCGCGAGCAACCAAAGATCGAAAATCACGAAAAAAATATCTTTATATTTTATTATAATACTTTAGAAAATGTTAATTTCTCGTATTTATTTTTTATTTTTAAGTCTTTCGGTGGTTATAAGGAAAAATTAAGATAAATCGTCCGTCGACCGTTAAATATATCCGTGTGGAAGCGTCGTGTTGATATTTTAACAATTTTTAAGTCGTGTTTAAGTTTCTCCACCATTTCGGCGGCCTCACCCTCATATCTGAACTCGATGTGTGTTTATATCTTATAATATATTACTCTCAACTTCTGTAGGAAACTGAACGGCTCAAAGTTAAAAACAAAAAAAGGCCATATAATGTGTGTTCGACATGGCGTTACTTATATATTGTAAAACAATATCGCACAGCGTGCAGTGTATTATTGTATAGTGATTTTCGACTTTAAAACTGTCTGTGTTGTGCGTTTTTTTTTATCCGTGATCGAATTATCTTCGTTGTCTAAGTTTTGAAACTGTTCTTGTGGGAATTTTTCAGGTATATTGTTTTATAGGACCATGATTTATGCATACCATGAGAATATCACCTAGCTAGTTTGGCTTAATTAAATGTGTATGCATATAGAGTTAGGTATTAAATCGAGAGCACGAGCAACCACAGATCGAAAATCACGAAAAAAATATCTTTATATTTTATTATAATACTTTAGAAAATGTTAATTTCTCGTATTTTTTTTTAATTCTAAGTCTTTCGGTGATTATAAGGAAAAATTAAGATAAATCGTCCGTCGACCGTTAAATATATCCGTGTGGAAGCTTCGTGCTGATATTTTGACAATTTTTATAAGTCGTGTTTAAGTTTCTCCACCTTTTCGGCGGTGCCGCCCTCATATCTGAACTCGATGTGTGTTTATATCTTATAATATATTACTCTCAACTTCTGTAGGAAACTGAACGGCTCGAAGTTAAAAACAAAAAAAGCCATAATGTCTGTTCGACATGATGTTTTCCTTATATGTATATCGTACAGCGTGCAGTGTATTATTGTATAGTGATTTTCGACTTGAAAACTGTCTATGTTGTGCGTATTTCTTATCCGTGATCGAATTATCTCCGTTGTCTAAGTTTTGAAACTGTTCTTGTGGGAATTTTTCAGGTATACGAACAAATGTTTCCACACACCGCTGTAAAAGCTATTACTTATACCAGGTACCATGATAGCTGCGATGTTGATCCGAACGGATCTTTTAGCCGGGAAATTTACGACTGCTTAGTTTAATATTATAACGAGCGAGTAAAAATCCTTCATTCACATCATTCTGCGGTTCGGCAATTTTTTTTTCTCCACGTTATTATTGTTTAATATTCAACAATTACATTAGACTGTCGCGGTTTTACATATTTTATTTCACTTTGTTCGTGAAATAAACAACGCGCAAGAAGTAAATTCACCAATATTATAATATGATTTCCTTTCGCATAAATTCGAAATCTTCTTCCGCCAAAAGATTATATTATGCAAACGTCGCGACAAAAGAACATTAATTCAATGGACCTTAATCCCGGTCTGATTTATTCGGTATCGCTGCAGCAGTACGTATTAAACAGGTACATTTGAATTTATTTCATACGCATATTATAATCATTTATACCATCGTGTTAAAGTGTAACCGGAGTGTAGGTAATGTGAAATATATAAATACTCCCGACACGCGTGGTGTGTGGGCTGCTTGGAGGATTCACATACATATTTAAAATTTATGCACGTACCTTCCTCAACGTGATATCGAAATGATAACCATTTCGACGGATGACAAAAAATATGATTCCCCTAACGATTACTATTGTACACATAGGTACACCTCTGCGGGCGTATTATTAGTAGTTTTTTATAATATACTATATAATTATTATCCTTATCGAGAAACTGCAAGCGCCGAAGGTGCAAAAATTACGTATCATTTGCGTCAAAATTAATATTTTATATAAATAGTTATTTAAATATGTCGATCTTATAAAAAATTGTCAAAAAATATAATAGAAATTAATAAATTGTAGTTATATAATTATAGTTTTAATAAATCAGTTGATTTTTTTCGATATTCGATCTTATGAAAAATTGTCAATAATAAATTGTTAAAATATAATATATAGTTCTAAATTTAATATCTGTTCATTAATATCGATTAACCGTGGCACACAGGTACCTATCTAGGATTTTGGAGCTTCGTACGATACGATTTTGGCGCTTTCTTACGCTTTTTTTTCCTATCTCATTTTGGCGCTTATGACTTCCACCGCTATTACCGTATCGGTGTAGATCATCATAATATTATGTCGATAAGGCGTCGCATTTATAGTCTTCATCGTTGTTGTTGTTGAATTACCTTTACACGTCGTTATGTTTGAGTTTTTTGCGAGTACGGTAAACATATTCGTCTTTTGATGTGCTTAACGCGACAACAACTACTTAAATATTTTTGTACTCGAGTGGTTTATAATATATTATTATATGTTATATGGTCGTCGAGAACTGCGTGATGAAAATTCAATTATCTCATCACTCAAGGCATTTTGAGTTCCCCGAAAATATATTACTTATATATAATCTTTTAAAATGGCGGACATGATTACCAACTATACCTGCCTCATATACGAAAAGTCGTCTGTAATTTTCGTCGTTTTGTCATAAAATGTTTTGAAAAATGTATTATTATTTTTAATTTTTAAATCACGTTTTTACCTTCCAAACCGAAAAAAGCCTCTTCGTCAATGCTCGATATTTGATTTCCGTCCAACTCCAACGAGTTCAGTAGTGGCAAATGTCGAAACACTTTGGCAGGTATATGTTTGAGATAGTTGTGTGCCAGGATCAGCATATCCAGTGTTTGTAAACCTTAAATGATAAAATATACAAATTATGCCCAACGGTAGTATTTTTTTTACAGATTAAATTTGATTTGTATATAAGAACGTCGGTAACTATTATGAGTTTAGCTGAAAAGTATACTCGGCAGTCGGCGGACACGAAAAGAGTGGAAAAAAAAGCCACCGCCATTGCAGTTGTAATATTTATTAAAATCCCAGTCCTAATTATTAATAATGATTGCATTTATTAATTATAAATTATAATTTATTTATAATTTATCGAAAAACAGATTTTTATTTTAGACTGGAGATATTATATTACATTATAATTGTTATTATTCGATTATTATTATCGCTCGAAAATGTGAAACATTATTTTAATTTTTATACTCAACGAATTATAATATGTCATTCTTAATACAATCTGTTATGGATTGATGTTTTGGGCCTTTGGGGCTGTTTATATATTATAATTCAGTTAGAGAAATTAAAAACAACAGTTAATAGTTAAATCACATTTTTACTGGATAAACCTGTACCTATACTTTATAGTTTTATACATTACAAAGATCATGCTATGTGAACTAAATGTATCCAGTTTTGATAAATAATTATTCTGTAAAACTTAACTATAAAGACTGTTGCGAATAGTAAGTCCACTTTTGGGTCACAATGTTCAACAATTGTGGGTCGAGTACTTTATTATGTACAAAACGTACCTACCTAATATTAATGTATATAATTTTGAAACACTTAATGGTTTTAAATTATTTGTGCACAAAAATTATGTTTAGAACTTAACTCTTCCAACACAATCTGGTTTTACATGGAGTGTTGTAGCTAAACATCTGTAATCACTTTATTATTACGTAATAATTGTGTGCTACAAATAATGTCTTATTCTTATAATTGTCATTAATTTTTTCTGTAGGTGGGTAGATATACGAATAATTGTTCTTGTTTTATAAGTGGCAAATAATTATAAAAAATGCTTATTGTCTTTTAAAATTATTTAAAACAAACATTGTGAGGACCTTGTTCATTAATCATTGTTTTAACTCATAATGAATACCTATACATGTATATCTTTAAAACGTTTTTTTTAAAACTATATTATCTCTGAACTACTTTAATAATACTTCAGAGTATAGGTACCTAAAGTTAAAAGCGATTCGTGGATAAGAATATAAATTCAATACTTTTAAACAAAATATATAGGTACTCTTGTAAAAAGAACGATAAAAGTCCTGTGCACCAGTACACGATTAAGGGCTCTCGATTCTTGAGAAAAATAACATTGAAACTATTTTTAATAAAACATTCAAAAGCGACGGATGACATTCGACGAATGTTTAATTTAACAAATGTGGTCCTCGTGTACTGTAATGAACAATTTATTTCGGAGGGCAAAACAGTGCATTTTTAAAAATTAAAAGTAACGACAATTACCTATGAAATCGCCTTCGCTGATCGACGTAATCTTATTTTCTTGAATTTCCAATTTCTTTAGGTTGTCCATCGTCTGCAGAGCTCCGGTCGGTACTCGGTTCAATTCGTTACCACCGATGTTCAATCGTTTCAGTTTCCTGCGGACCGATTAAAACGATATTATTATTAACCAACGAAATACCATAAAAAACTACTACGATATTACTTCTCCGTGCCGGCGAACGCATTGGCCTCGATGTTAGTGAGCCGATTTTCGTACAAAGTCAATATCTCCAGCGTGCTCATCCCCTCGAAAGCGTTTGCGTGGATGGCGGTGATTTTGTTATGGTTCAAATTGAATATCAGCAATCGATCTAAGCTCTTCAACGCCGGAGTCGGTACGCTGCTTAACGAATTCTGAGACAGATCTAATTGGGTGAGTGCTTTTCCTGTATAGACACGAACAAATGTATAAATATTATAAATCGCGTCAGGGTGAAAAAAAATTATTATCGTGATACGAGATTTAAAACCGAGGTGTACGAACGAGGTTATTTGAAAAACTACCTAACGTTTGTGTCAAAGCAATATTAAATAACAACTGATTATACCCGGTAACGTCAATTTGAATTTATTTAAACTAACAAAAAAATTATGATTTGTTACGGACACTATTATTAGTGTATAAATAGTCTGTTAAACATACAATATAATAATATAATATACTTTTATATTCACAGCGACAACTTCGCTCGTTGATTAAAATAATTTTTCATTTTGCGCTTTATTTAGTACAGTCAGTTAGTATAGTATTTGTTTGCTTTAACAATAGTGCGTGTTGCATAATGCCAAGTCCGAGTCTAACAATCACGCAAAGGATGATCAACGAGTATTGTTGTTTATAAATTTATAAAATATAAACCTTTAAGGAGGACGTGACAATCTAATAATAAAAATCTATGGCTCCGCAGGGAATATTCTTCGCAGATGAATTTAAATTATAGAAAAGTTATTTTTAAAACGTAGACATATATATACGTTTTTAAAAACACAAACTCCGAATAACATTGTTATTATTTTATTAAAAGTAGGTTCTTTGTAAACAAGCAAATAGAATAAGGGTTCAACGGGGAAAATGAATATTCATTTGGAAAACAAAAAAAAATCAATAACGGGGTCGAAAAACGTCGATGGGCAACAAAAAGGCGAAGTCTGTGTTCGAGTTTTGATATTTCACAGGTACCTACGCGATAAAAGCGTTTTGGAAAATTATCAGACATATATAGATCGAGTTTGGTACTTTTGAAAGTGTTGTTATTGCCGAGAACTTTTACGGACTAAAATAAAAAGAATCGTTTAAAGTTTTCGATGGGTTGAATATGTGTGAGACTGCGTTATTGCGGAAGACGACGAAGTAGGCAATATGATGTACTAATCATACCCGTAGATGTTTTCGACATTCTCGCGATGTTTGCAGTATATTTGATGGGACGTGTTCAACTTTCCGAAACTATTCGCAAATCAGATCGTCAAAACTTAAAATCGTACTCGTCACACTCGCGGGTCTTATCGAATTCAATAATAATAATATCGCATACGAAATCCGATAAAATATTATATTATTACACTGCAGCCGGTTGGCGGTCGCGAGGTTATAATAAAGTACGTCGACATTTGCATGTCAATCATTATAATAATAATAATAATAATATTCGTCTCACTACAATATAACACCGTACGACATTATATTATATTATATTATAATATGTGGGTGTGTTTTACGTTTGAGTGTTGACGATGACTCGTGCTTGACATCGCGTATTGATTATAACATCTCCACCACGCCACACGTACAGGGTGTCTCGCGGTGTAAGCTTTTCAAGTGGCGACAAGGGTGGGTGGGGTGTGTGTGTGTGTGTGTCTCACAAGTTATAATATAAGCTCGGTTATAAGTTATAACTAACGAACAAAAAAAAAAAAAAGAAAAACGCACGTGAACGCTGTAAGTCGTCTCGCGTACAATTTAGAGTACCCATTCAATAAAATATAATATAATATACTGCAGTGTTCAGAAAACCGGAAGTTCGTGCATTGCTATATTATACGACGTACACGACTATATATTATAATATACAGTATAATATTATTTATGTGTTTGGCTTCTGTTGAGATGTAAACCGTACTTTGTAAAAAATTATTGTGAAATTTCATAATCTATTTAAACAAAATATCAACACAGAGACCGGTGGACAAGCGGGGGAGGGGTATGTCCCCGGGCCCACAACGGATATCAAACAATAGTGTGCCACTGCTGGAGCCCAACAAATTGTATTTATGTCGTTTTTGTGCGAAAAGTTGTACAGTCGTCAGTTGAAGTCGTATACATACTCATATAATTTGACTGTCTGGAAGTTTCAGTATAACGTTATAATAGTGAGGAACGTTTACGTTTTTATGTTAGTTTTTTGTTTTACAAATATAAGTGTTGAAGACGTATAAGTATTATCAGAATTTTTTTTTTTTATCTCAGAAATATATTTATTTGCGATTCACCAATATTTTGACAATTTTTACGGGCCCCTAAAATTGTTTGGCGCCTGGCCTAAAATTATCTTTTGCCGGTGGAAGATCCGCGTATGTATGCAAATGAAACGACTGACGAGATTGTTATTGAGGTCGGATTCGTCTGCTCGACAGATGGTTTTATTCGAGATAATTTTAAATGTTCAATTACGCAGTGAAAATTGGTACCTATACGATTATATTATTATTTGATAATCATATGGTCCATAATTATTTATATAGATCACTCGTGTTGGGGGAGGAGGCAGAATATATTTTGAATTTTGAAGGTGGTGTCGGAGGATTTAAAAAGGAACAATACATTTTGGGCCCGTGTTGCGGACTTGTGGTATGATGATTTGGGGCAGTTGAAAATAAAATAGGTAATTTCACAAGCCACGTGGTTGTTGTGCGGAGTGCACAGAGGGCGGTAGGTCTAGATCAAGATAAGATAAGATGGTAAAAATACGACGATTCGACAAGTAACCCAATAAAGTTATAGACGTTCATTAAATAAATACCATTAAAAATTATAATATTTAAAAAAAAATTAATTATGCAATTATATGCGTTATGTTCAAAATATACAAAAAAAGATGTTCTATTTAATCGAGAACAATGGAAATCATGGACATATCTGACAACCAATCAATTCGGTCTCAAGGGAAAAAACTTTCAAATGTATAGAAATCCTAGCCCTAGTTATGACGTAACGTGTTCGTTTTTAATCACGATTAAGAAATCTACATTCAGTAAAATTATTTATTTATTTAAAAATCCTCGCTCCACAGAATATTATTATTTTAATATGTATTACATTTTTTATTGAAGTAAAACAATTTTTACTTGCCTGCTATTATAAGTGAAACACGTTGGTTTGTTTGCATTGTCGGAAAAAAATTTAATTAATTTTGTCTACAGCCACCGTCGGCAAATGAAAAATGTTGTGTGGGCTGTGTGGCCGTGTCTGTCAATCGTTGTATTATCGGTATAGGTGCCAGTTGTGAAAAAACAAAATTATGATCTCATTTTTACTTATAGCCTTTCGATTGGGTCATAACCGTACCGTATATGATAGTTTTTTGCACAAGTCTGAATTAATTTTAAATTTCCCTTTGTCTTATCTTGATATGATAATAATTATAAAAAATAATATATTAATTTCAATTTAAAATGTTATTTTTTTATTTTATTCCAATACGAATATTCTATCGGTTTAATGACTCTGAAAGAAGTTTCACTATTCTCACCCACGCGTACTCACAACGCACACTTTTTATGTATTTATAAATATAACGATATACCTAAATTATGTGTTGTGAAACGATTTTTTTCCTAATACGCTCGTGGGGTAACTATATACCCCCGTAGGCTCACCATACTCTGCGTGCCCGCAACGCCACCCCTCTAAATCAGAGCACCGTTTTCGATAACCGACGTACGCAAAATCGTCATCAACGTCGTCATGCTCACCGATAGAACTCAGCGACGACTCCTCGACGACGGCCAGCGTGCTGTTGTGTATGGTCAGGTGCCGGATGTCCATGCCCAGGAACACGAAACCCTGCAACTTGGGCAGGTTGTTGTGCCGGAGCTTCAGGTAGAATATGACCAGCGACGGTTTGCCCTTGAGCACGGCCATCGTCTTGGATATGTGCTGCAGGTCGGTGAACTCGCACAGTATGTCTAGACCGCCATTCTTCTTCACCGTGCACACGCAGGGAGCGATCTCGCCGTGCGTGGGACATTGCTGAATGACCGGGCCGCTGGCAGACCATGCCGGGTCCACGGAGAAGGCCGACAGCAGGCCGCACAACACCAATACCGACGTAGGCACCATCGCTAGCCGGTGGTCGCCATACCTGCAAACGGAAATCCGGAAATCAGCGACAGTTTGTGGGTGCACGATTTATTTATAATATTTATTTTAACACCTCGAACTCCGGGGGGGGGAGGGGTTACGGTGGTTTACAATATTATAATATAGGTTATACGCAGTAGAATATAACAGCGTATATGGCACTGAGACACAATGTGTAAGGATTTACCACCACAAAATAATATATGATTATAAGGGTTCTAAAATTTTTTGAAATTAATTTTTTCGGAATATTTCATTCTGATGAAAAATAATAAAAACTAATTTAAAATTTAAAATTAAGTATAGTATAAATTACAGTAACGATATACTTAGTTCAGACGTGTTAAGTGGAAAATGTTATAGAAATATTTCTTACGTAATACATTATACAAATTACATAATAATTCATAATATAAACACATTTAAAAAGTTTCAAAACTCATGAACTAAATTATAAATTTCTTATTTCACGTTTATTTAATATTTTATAATTACTTATTAGATATAGTTATAACCAGAGCCACTATTATAATTCAAATAAAATACACATTTTAAATTTATAAAATCCCTATAATACCTATATACTTTTAAACTAAATATTATAATATATTTATAAATACATGAGATATCCTCTACATCGTGATCGGGAACTAAATATTGATCACTTATCAGCTATGAAATCAGTATGACCATCTAGTGATTTGGTGGAGAAAAAAAAATGAAAATGATATCTTTTCAATATTTCATTGAAATATTTGAAGAAGACTGGAAGTTTTAAGTTTGAAACATTTCAAAGGGAAAATTGCATGTGAAATATTTCATACTCATAACCCTACATTTATAATATAGTCGTGAAACGAGCGGGTCTCGGAAGGGGAAATCTAGTTGGAAATATAGCACCCACTCAACCCTCGATCTACTTATAGTATAATATCATAATATATAGGTCAGTGGTTTTCAACCTTTTTTCACGAAGATACCCTAACTCATATCCGAGTAAACGGTGACACGAACTTATGTTAACGAGCTACTAAATTATGTTTATTTTACGCGTTACCGTTTTATTAAAAAATATACATTTACTTCATTAATAATTCAACAGTTTTAGCTAGGTATTTAAATTAAAAAGCTACTACAGATAATAATAATAATAATAATAAGCAAAACAAATCAGTGTGATACTTGAGATTGGTGAACCTGAACATTGAAGTCATCAATTCTTGGGTGACAAACTTTAAAGTTGGTATTCAATGTTTATTTACGTAGGTACAACATAAACATTGAATATCAGAAAACGAATTTGGTCCCCATTATACCATTTAACAAATACGCTAATTGCCTTAGAAGAAATTTAAATTACTATACTAATTGGCAATTGCGTCCTATGTAAATACATTAGTTTATTTCAATGAATTATGTAAATCTAACATATAAATTTGGTAGCTCGGGAATCATAATACGGATGCTCGTGCGCGATGCATATTTTCACGAATTTTATTAGAGTCAAATCATATAACTTGTCGATGTTAATACGTCGTTTAATGATTCCCTATGAATTAGTTTTGACGCGGCTTATCGTCTATTGCCTAACGTTACTTAATTTAAATTACATTCGACTTAACTACTCGACCTACCAGATGCAAATCACATAATATATTGGCACGTGCGCCCGCAGGATAAAATCCCACTCGGGGCAAGATAAAAATTATTTATAATCTAATATTAGTTATAGCGATATTGATATTAAAGTACATGCGGTTAAAATTTCCCAGGGGGGCAATGTCCCCCTTGACACCCCCCTGCGGGCGTCCACGTATATAGGCAATACAATATAATATAATCGGTATAATATACCTGGTATATGTTTGACGTTCGAATATTCATGAGAAACACCAAAAAAATTAATATAATTACATTACTGATTAACCATGTAATATACAGAGGTGATTCACTGCATTTATTTCTCCTACACTGAATTTTTTTGAATTATAATTTTTGAAATGTTTAAGTATATACTCACTTATGCAGATAAAATATTTTCAAATTGCTACTTGGCTTATTTTTATATCATTTAAGGAGAGACCTGTGATCAATATATTTTTTTTAAAAAGAGAACCAAAATTGTTTTATCGTTAATCGTTAAGAGCGTTAAGAGGGTAATCATTTTGAATATTTTGATTTATATAAATAAAAATTTGAGTAGTTCCAGATGTATTAAACTTCAGGTACTTAGCATAATTATAGTCCATTTTAAGAGGTTTAGGACGTATATACACGATTATTTGGAAATTATAGTAATTAACATTATAATCATTAAAATTTCATAATTTGTAAAAATCTTCCGAGTACCTTTATAATAGCTATAAAAAAAGTACTTGATTATTAACATTAATTAATTAAAATTGTACAATTTGGAAATATCGTCTGAGTATAGGTACCTAGCTATAATAATGACCATACAATTAATATTAATTAATTTATATTTTATGTAAAATCACTGTTAAGGACTATTATATCCTTAACGATTATTCTTTACTACACAGTCATTGAAAACGAAAATTAGGTCAACAATATTTGAGGGGCGATTCAGTGCGATTACAATGTTTTTAAATACCCCATACTCAAGCTAGTATTGCAATCATGAAATTATTAATAAAATATATGTAATAAATGTGCTTTAGTCTTCACTCTTCAAGAGAATGTGCTGTACAATCATTATTGTATTGTTATTCTGGGCTTATTGTTCGGGGCTAACTCGTAAGTCGAAGAATTCAAACATCAGCCCACGTCGATTTAGTTCTCTGTTTTCGCCTGTATATGAGTAAAAGTGTTGTACGTTATACACTCGTCGCCACCATTCAGCACTGTTCGACGCAGGCGGGTTAGAGAAGATTCTAAGTTTTTTTTTTAAAATCTATTTTGAAGAATAAATCGTTTTCGACGAGTTTTATACGAAAGCGTGTCGTGTCGATACGAATCGAATGAAATCGGTCGACCTTTGAGTTCTAGCGAAAAAGAGTACCTATATAATATATACAGGGTGACTAACCTGCAATCATTCTCTACCAAATTTTAAAAACTTATTTAAATTTTGAGTATGAACATTTTTAATTAAGTATACTTAAGGGCCATTAAATAATTGATATTTTAATATCATTTTAAGAGTGTTCTGCGTGGGTATATAAAATTTTTTTTTCATAATATGTGAACCCTTCAAATCAAAATTTGAATTAGTAGTTTCTGAGCTATTAAAATGTATTTACTATAAAAAAAATGGCTTCACAAAAATATAAAATATAATACTTGTGGGTACTTATATATTATACTTATTATGCTTACAATTTTTTTGCGAATTGTAAAATGCCGAGATCAATATTTATTTATTCTTATAATAATTTTCTGTTCATTATAGCCCCATATACTACCAACAAATTAGCATCGACATGTTGTATTAAGTACACAAAGTCAGATAACATAACTCAAAAACCACTAGGTAGTTCTAAATTCTAAAAAATAAAAATGTTCAAAAAAAAGACAATTCTGCCTTATCATTTACATAGAAAAACAGTGATCCTCGTTTGAATAAAAACCATCCACGGGACACTTGTCATAAATAATATAAAAATCTGGGTAATTGAAAATATTATGGTATAAGGTACCTACATAAAACCGGGGCACCGGGGCACCTGGGCACCTTAGTTGCGTCCCGTAAAAAAGGTATACACGAATTGCGTCCCACTATATATGGGTTAGGTAGTAGAGTTTTATTTCGTTTTCAGGGGTTCTCCTTGGTGTGTTGATTATTATAAGATAGCCTGGGCTCTAATATTATGTTTTGATAGTAATATAAATTACGATAGCAAGTTCGTTTATCGTAATCGTCAACAATAAAATACCACCTCTATTCTACCTATACTATATCGGTAAAGCTTTGTATTATATATATGTGTGTATAGCATTTAGTTTCACAATGTTCTGGATTTACCAAGCTGATATAAAATACTTGATTAGGTAGGTACAGTATCTACTGTTAATAACTGTTTTACTGCAGTTCAGTCTTCGTTCGTTACTTTTTCGTATACCTACGTTTTAAAATTATTTATTTATTTATTATATAATGGACTACCTATATTGATTTTGACTGGATCTAAGTGATTTAATGTTTATTTACTTTTTTACTACATATTTTGATAAACAATTTTTTGACTGACATTTTGATTATTAACGTTAATATTATTATTTATTTATTTTTGTTAGTTGTTTAAGAACCCTTGATTAAAATACATGAATTGCGTCCTTGATTTTTTGGGACGCAATTCGTGTATACCTTTTTTACGGGACGCAACTCGTGTGCTCCCCATAAAACATGGGTGCGAGCACGGTCGGTGAACCACACACCCTGTATAACTCCCTAAAGTCATAAATAACGAACAATATTTAATTTCAAGCAGGACGGACACACCAAATACCTGTAACGACCTAGGACCTACTGTGAAGTTTTTGATCCGGGCTGGTACGTGTCGGAACTGTATTATGTTATACGTTACTGCAGACAATACCATATTATAATACTGACAAAAATGTGCGCGGGAAACGTCTCTTTTTTTCTCATAATTTGGACGTGGTAACGCTTATTATCAGGGCTGTGCATTATTGTAGGAGTGCATTTTTCTTTTTTGGTGATTGTGAAACGTAGCTTTGTAAGTACATAATTTGAATTATGTAACTACGGATCCATTTATGAAACTTTTATTTTTCATTTTTTTGCATTTTTAGGTCATATTTTCCTTTTCTAGTTCAATCAAATTCTGTCAATTGACTTGTTTGAAAAATATTTTTTTGTTTTTTTTTTTTGTCCAATGCAATATTAAAGACTAAAGATGAATAATGGGTACCCGCAATTAAATATATTGAAGTTTGTTTTATTATTTTAACAAAATAAATAGGTAAGGATAAAAAGAATTTTTTTATTAAATAAA